GGTGGTGGTGGAGCGGGGGAGGGTGCGGGGGGTCGTCGGCAGCGGTGGTGGAGCGGGGGAGGGTGCGGTGGGGGAATCGAGATGGAGGGGGAATTGAGATCGAGATGGAGGGGGATCGAGATCGAGTGTCCTCATGAAATTCAATATTTTATCATATTGAATATGAAAAATATCATCAAATTTGAAAAAATATTCATGAATTCAAAAAGTGCCCATGAAATTTAAAAATATTCATGATATCAAAAAGTGCCCATGAAATACAACCGAGAAATGAAGACTACGATTTAAATACAGTCGATCTTAGCTAGCTATCTGTTCATAATCTTCTTGCCCTTCTTTTTCGCAAATGGAGTTCTTCTATGGAACGGATGTCCTTTAGGTAGGGTGGTCCTGCTTCTTCTTGTGGTGTATGCTGCTACTTCATCGTCGTCGTCATGTTCGATCTTCCGGTCGCCGTACTTGTCAAAGTCTTGCTCATTGGCTACTCCATCCATTCTGATGATCTTCCTTTTGCCTCTCCTCACGACAATACGACTGGGCTTTGACGGGTCGGTAATGAAGAAGCATTGGTCCACTTGGGAAGCCAGTACCCATGGCTCATTTTTCGTGGTGACGTTTGCGCCCGCGGTCTTGGATTTGGCTTCGGGTATAACCATGATGGTGAAATACCGGTCTTCTTTTAGGATGCTCTTGGCCCATCTGACACGGAACATCGGGACCTTCTCTCCAGCATAGCTCAGCTCCCAGATCTCCTCGATCCTTCCGTAGTATCTGTCCTTGTCGTTACCGGTGTAGGATTTCATCGTTACCCCGGAGTTCTGATAACCATCGCTCTTCATCTCCTTGTCCTCGGTGTAGAATGTCTAGACGTTGATATCATACGCCTCATAGGTCATCAGGTTGTGCTCGGCGGCCTGTGACAAGGCGAATATGAGTTGTTCTTCCGCGGAACAATCCTCATGTAAAGGGTACGACAGAAGCTTCTGCTTGAACCAACGCATGAAACATGAGTTGTGCTCTTTGATTATATCTCCGTCCGTCCTCTGTTGGCCTCGGTCATTGTACGTCTTCTCAATAAAGGTTTTGTGCTCTACCACCCAAGGATCGACCACGTCTATATGTTATAGAGCGACTAGGTTTGCTCTTTCAAAGTCGGCGAGTCGACCCTCGAAGTCGACATGCATTTCGCGGCGACCCTCACGGTGACCCCATCCAGCGAGCCTGCCGAGGTGCCTGTCGACGGGCAGACCAACGGGGTTCTCGATGCCTAGATAATTCGTGCAGTAGGAGATGCACTCTTCGGTCAGAAAGCCCCTGGCTATACTTCCCTCTAGACGTGAAATGTTGCGAACGTATCCTTTGATGACACCATTCATCCTTTCGAACGACATCATGTTGTGCAGGAATGTCGGCCCGAGTTGGATGATATCCTCCACGATATGGACCAGCAGATGCACCATAACATCGAAGAATGCGGGCGGTAAGTACATCTCAAGCTCGCATAGTATCACCACGATCTCTTCCTGTAGCCTTCTGAGTTGCCTCACGCCAACCGACTTTCGAGAGATGACGTCGAAAAAGTTGCATAGGCCAAATAGCGTTTCACGGACGTGCGCGTCCATGATCCCATGTATTGCAACTGGAAGTATCTGCGTCATCAGCATGTGACAGTCGTGAGACTTCGTCCCGCTGAACTTCTGCTTCGCTGGGTCTAGGTATCTGCTTATCTTCCACGCGTAACCGTAAGGAAGTTTTACTCCTACGAGGCGGGTGAAAAACTGCTCGATCTCCTCCTGACTTAGAGTGAAGCACGCGGGAGGGTAGTCATTTCCGGTCTTCTTGGCCTTTTTGCCTTTGCGACGACTTTCTGTGTCCTGCATCACCTCATCATCATCATCATCATTAGCGTGAAGCTCCTGCCCGATGCCCGTTGATTTCAAGTCTGCCCTTGCTTTCGGCCCATCTTTGGTCCTCTCTGGCATGTTGAGCAGGGTACCAAGCAGACTCTCGCACACGTTCTTCATGATATGCATGGCATCAAGGTTGTGAGGCACACAGTGGGTCTTCCAGTACGGCAAGTCCCAGAAAACAGACCTCGTTTTCCATACCTTCAGCAGTGGCTCTGATGCCTTTCGCTTCTTTCCCGGCTCTGGCACCTTTTGCTTCTTTCCCGGCAGTGGGCAATCTTTCCAATTTTTCAACAGCTCGTCTATTTCCTCGCCGCTCCTCGTACGCGGGCGTCTTCGGAGTTCGGTTTCACCATCGAACAGATCCTTGCGTTTCCTCCACGGGTCATCGTCGCAAAGCCACCTTCGATGTCCCATGAACACGGTTTTCGAAGACCCGGGATCTCTATCTAGCTGGCGATATGTTGTGTCATCCATGCACCTGACGCATCCAAAAAATCCGTGGACCACCTGCCCCGCGAGATATCCGTAACCGAGATAGTCATGCACCGTCGTGAGCAATGCGGCTCTCATAGGGAAATATTCTTTCTCTGCGGCGTCCCACATATTGGCTGGCGTTTTCCACAGCGTGTCTAGCTCCTCTTTCAGCAGCCCCAGATACAGATTGATGTCGTTCCCTGGTTGTTTCGGCCCTTCAATTAGCATACTCATGTGAATGTACTTCCTCTTCATGCACAACTAGGGGGGAAGGTTGTACATCCACACAAACACAGGCCAGGTGCTATGTGTGCTTCTCTGGCTGCCAAATGGATTGACTCCATCGGTGCTCGTGCCCAGCACGATGTTCCTTGGATCCTTCCCAAATTCTGGGTGTTCGAAGTTCAACGCTTGCCACTGGCTCCCATCCTTAGGGTGACTCAGCATCTTGTCTTTTTTATTTATCTTCGGATCATTTGCGTCATCTTCTCGCTTCTTCTCCTCCCTATCTGCGTGCCAACGCAGGAGCTTTACTACCTTAGGGTCTGCGAAATACCGCTACAGACGAGGAGTGATCGGAAAGTACCACACCACTTTTCGAGGAGCTTTCTTCCTCTTCTTGTATCGAGTGACGCCGCACACCGGACATATGGTAGACTCCGCGTGCTCGCCCCGATAAATGATGCAATTGTTCATGCACACATGGTATTTCACGTGCGGTAAATCCAAAGGACACACGACTTTCTCCGCCTCCTCGAAACTGGTCGGGCACTTGTTCCCCTTGGGAAGACGTTCGTGCCAGAATGACATGTTCTCGTCGAAGCATGCGTCGGTCATTTTGTGTTTTACCTTCATCTCCAAAGCCATGAGCATTACTTTCAGGCGGGTATTCTCGAGTCTGGATCCTTCATACAATGGAGTAACCGCGTCTATCTCCAGTTGATCCAGCTTGGCTTTCTCTCGGGCGGCAGCTCTTGCGTTATCCGTCTGCTTGAGAAGCAGCTCTTGAATATGAGGGTCCTGCACCCAGACCATCGATGGTCCATCGTCGTCTGCTCCTCCGGCATCTAGATCTTCATGATCATGCCCTTCGTCTGCTTCGGCATCTTCCTCATCATCATGTCCGACATCTTCTACATGATAACTATGTACAACATCACCGTCGTGATCATGTCCTGGAGATTCTTCGTCTTCTCGCCCGACTAAGCCGCGGTGGTTGTCTTGCTGCCCTTCCTCATTTCTTGCCCGACCCCCATGGACGACTTCATAGTCATCTTCATCACCTTGCCACTGATAGCCATCCATGAAACCACACAAAAGCAGGTGGTCCCGCACTTGCCTGGAATCCGGGTCCGCAATAAGGCTCTTCAGCTTGCATCTTCGACACGGACATCTTATCTCCGTCTCGTTCTTTTGAAGCATCTCGGCCTTCGCGGAGCTCAAAAACCTATTGACGATGCCTTCGGTCATCGTGCGGACCATGGTCGCCTGCGGGGTAGAGCAAAACGATATTTTTGAAACAAGAAAAAATTTGGCATGACTTTCCCTAAAAATAGGACCAAAAAGAATGCAGTGCCAAAATTCTCGCCGAAACGGAAATGAATCAACATTCCGGCAAAATATTGGCAACTATCGCATTTCAAATACCGGTACCTGCAAACACAAACATATATGCAACACCACAAACATACATAGATCTAGCTAGGCCACAAAAAGTGCATGTGCACGTTGTTGAAGCGAGCTAGGGAGAAAAAAAGTAGATCTACAACATGAAGATAGCTTTCCCCTTACTTACCTATAAAAAAAAGGTAATTTCAACACTTAATTTTGATGAATCTATGGTGCAAATGAGATGAGGAGGAGGAGGCAGCCGACAAGCTTAGAGAAGGAGGTGGGGGGAATGAAGTGGGAAAAGTGAGTGTGTAGGTGTGGCTGTCCAAAAATATCTAGCTGGTCCCAGATTACTAATGGCGCACCACAGAGACATGCGCCATTAGTAACCCAACATACTAATGGCGCACCACACAGACATGCGCCATTAGTAGTTTTGCAAAAAAGTAAAAAAATAATTTTTATACCAATGGCGCACCGTGGCATAGTGCAAAAAATACAGTAGTGGCGCACTTTATGGCTGGTGTGCCATTAGTAGTTCTAACTACTAATGGCGCACTCTGCCTGGATGCGCCATTAGTATGTTTGAAAAAATGAAAAAAAAACATTTTGTTATTAGTGGCGCATCGTGTGCCTGGTGCGCCTTTAGTGTCTTCCACACTAATGGCGCATCAACAGGTGGTGCATCATTAGTATATAATAATGGCGCACCACATATCCGATGCGTCATTAGTGTCAATTCCATCTATAACCCTTTTTCTAGTAGTGAACATTAGCAGCAATAATATTAATATCCATTAGAAGAGTTTTCTGCACTGAGTCCGTGGGTCTCACAAAGATATAAGATATATAGAATGTTGTAAAGATCAGCTTACCTTCTCATGCAATGGAACAATTGTGTGTCTTGATCTTTCCCGTTTTCTTTGGTTTTGCAGCCTAGAATTTTTAGACACGCGCATATAGATTGGAGCATCTAATAGTAGTTGAAAATGTTTTTGAGTAAAAATGCAACTAATACTCAATTTTCTAGGACTTGATACATCATGGTCTTCTTGTGCTTTGTTGTTTGGTTGGTGTAGAATCCCTCAGCTCTTACCAAGAGGCTCTAGCTTCGAACCTGACTCTTTTAATAGTTGGAGTGTTGCACACATGGAATTGATCGCAGGTACTTCATCTAAAGATCCCAAGATCAGAATTTTATTACCCTATGTCGAGACCTGCATTTTTGCTATGGTGCACTCTAAGCTTTCTAAATTTTGTTACGAGGTTTAGAGAGGAAGCGAAGCAGCAACAGTTTGGGTTCAGAGAAGATTAGGAGCAGCAGTTCATTGGAGAAGGAGAGGTACAGCAGCCAAGGGCAGCAGCAGAGAGCAGAATCAGCAGGTCAGGGGCGGCAGCAGAGGATCAGAAGCAGAGATGGGTTCGATTCAATTGCCAATGATAATGATTCAGACTTGAGTTTGCACCACCCTTGTTTTACTAAATAGTTTGTCCTTTTTCACTTGTGATTATGCACTAGAGATTTGCAAGGATGCATTGGATTCTTTTTATACTGATTTGATGCACTCTGACTTTCGAATGCGAACAAATGTGATCTTCAATTGGCATTGATGATTCAGACTTTAGCTTGCTAATACTGTAGTTGACATAACCTTGAGTGTTACTCCGCTATACTAAGTGGATTGAGCTTTTTGTTATCCCGATGTCTTGAAAGCAAACTCTGTTCAAGGTTCCTTCTTTATCTTAGGCTCAGTACAGTGCTCATAATCTCAACTGAGTAGCAAGCTTATAGCTGGAGTGTATTTCAGTTGACCAACCTGGCCGGAGGTGTGAACCAAACTGACAACAGAGATATCCAGTCTCTCATGCTTTATTCTTCATGTAGTACAATGAAGTTTGTTTGTAGCTAACTTAGTCCTCTCGGACACTCTTGCTTGATACAAGGGTATGAACATGTCGTACACTGACCGTGGAAAACGTTTGGACCTCATTTATAAAGATACATGTCACTGTGGTAGCTGAATAATAATTTGATGGCCAAGAACCATCGAACCTATGGTGCACTTCTGAACTGTTATTGCTCATCTAAAAAAGAAGAGAAAGCAACACACCTTTATCACAAGATGGACGAGCTTGGCATCAATCAACAATCTGATATCCCTTTATATGAAGTAAGGCCAGCATCAAAAGAAACTTAAGGGCCATGATTTAGAAGGTCACATAAATATCTAGATTGATCGTTAGTAATCAGGGCTGTTTGGTAGATTCACTTCATAATACTCAATTTTCTCCTGCTTGTATCATCACTGTGTAATGTAGCATAGTACTCCCTCTATAAAGAAATATAAGAGCATTTAGATCACTACTTTTAAAAACCTAAGCGTTCCTATATTTATTTTTTACGGAGGGAGTACTATGCACAAAGATCAGCACCTAAATTACTTGAATGTTGGATCAGGTTTTTTTACTTAAAAAAGGTGATTTTGTTTCTCCTGGTGCATTGTTATTTGTAGGCGTCATTATTCTATAATTTCTGACGTTCTGCAGGTTAACAGAAGTGCACATATAATTGGTATTGAACTACAAAATATTTATGTCTCCGTTGCAATGAGTCTATCGGGTTCACCGTCGTGGCATTTTTGCAAGAGGCCCCTAACTTTTTATTTAATCAACCCGCACACCCTTTTTTATAAGTGGCAAAACCAAAAAAACGATTCGTTCTTCAACCCGCAATCCTTATTGCTGCGCTCGTCACATCTGGCGGCGGCAGCGATGCGGTGGCAGCGAGGCGGGAGGCATGCGCGAAGATGGAGGAGACATGGAGAGTCGTCCGGGGGCGAGGAGTTCGCCGGCGTCGACGCCATGGACCATGGCGACGCAGGCTTGCAGGGGATAGCAAGAAGACGAGCAGAGGGGAGCATCGTGGATGGGAGATGCCGGCAACGGGTTAACCGGGAACGCATCGGCGAGGGCAACCGACAGCAGCGGCGCGAACTGAAAGGAGGCGGTCATGGCTTCCTTCAGCGCCAGCAGGGAAGAGAAAGAGGGTGAGAGTGGGGCGATGGGGCACATAGGGAGGAGGAGAACGCGCTAGAGACGCGGGTGGCGGCGGTGGAGGACCTCGCCGGCGGCAGCGGCCGACCGGTGCAGGGGATCGGGCGCGCACTGCTCCTCTCCTCTTGGCGGCGCGAGGTGAGGTCGAGGGGATCGAGAGGAGGCAGACGAGTGAGAATTGGGCTAGGGTTCTCTTTTTTTTTGAGCATCACTACAGACACAAGCGCTCATATACACGCGCATACACTCACCCCTATGAAAACACACACGCACACCCTACCCCTATGAGCACCTCCGAGAGACTGAGCCGGCATATCATCTTGAGATTTACGAAGTCACCGTAGGCGCCTCGTCGTCGACGGGAACGTCTCCTCCCACTGAAAGCGCATCGCCGGAAATCCTAAAATAAATTCAGGAATAATGCGAGCACCAGGATTTGAACCCTGGTGGGTTGGGGATACCACTGTCCACCTAACCAACTCAACCACGGGCTAGGGTTCTCTAAGTGGTGGGGATAAGTGCAGGCCTGGCTGGGGTGTGCTGGAATGGGCCGGCCTGTTTTTAAAAGAAAAGAAGGGATTTCCCTTTATTGGGAGGGTATAAATCATTTTGCTAAAAAAAAAGAGGGTAGAAATTATGCGAGAGTTGCGTTCTTTTTTTCTACGTGGTGTGGGGACTGCATTTGTGGCTGAGAAAAAGGGTGGGGGAAATCTCCATGTAGTTTTTTTAACGTGGATGGGTCATAGGTCTTAATTGGCCGGCTTTAATTACTGTATTTCAGTTAATTTGGGAATTCGGTTAGCAAATTCCAATGACCGAGCTCAACTCAATAATTCCGGTTTTTTATCATTCGCTAACCGATTGAACAATCGAAGTTTCAATCCTCAATTTTTTTCACTTTGGTTCCTGTTTTTTCGTCTTTGGTTCTCGGTTTTTATACTCACCCTTAGGCACAAGGGAAGGAGGAGGGGATCGAGCTGCGCTAGGGTTTGTTAGGCGTGGGCCGGCTAAAAAGGGTGGTTAAGTAGGCTGGTGTTGAGGCAAGGCAGGCAAATTGTTGTAGGCCAGTTTTCGGTTCTACCAAAAATGTTATTTTATTAACTAATAGTATTATTTCGATAATTCACACAAGATCTCATAAATTTATATATATTCCCAAATAGACATTCAACAAGCCTCTCTGAAAATAAACAAAACATAGAGTGAGGTGTGGCTATAATTTTACAATGACAGACCCAGTAAAGAAGGAATGCAAGTTGTGTACGGGGTTGAGATGTGTGTGGCTATAACGTGGCAATAAGAGAGTGACACGGTAAAAAAAGAATGAACATTACGTGGGTTGAGGTATGTAGCTATAACATGACAATAAAAGAGGACTGTGTGGCCATATAAAGTGACATACAAGAGAGACCTCATAAAGAAGGAATGAACAATGTTGATGTTTCCTCTCTCATTGATATACAATGCTACTCAAGATGAACAAGTCGATAATGTTGTAACTGAAAACCGTAGTTTGCCGAATCTAAAAGACTGACTGTACCATGTCTGTTTTTTTCCGTTGCAATGCACGGGCCCTTTTACTAGTATACTCCTATCTATCTACTATTTAGTACCACTATAAAAGCACGAGAGGGCAGATCCAACTCATCATATTAGCCGTTTAATCAATGATCTAACAGTCTAAAATCTCCGTTAACGAAATCCCCCCTTGCTAACGATACCCGGTACCCCGCTTCGCCTCTCTCGCCACGTGCACGCCCCTTCTGGCTACAACCGCTCCACCACGCAGCCGCTCGCCCTACCGCCGCCCCTTCTCACCAGCCGACCACGCACGCCCGCACGACCTTCGCCCCTCCTCCTCCCAACGACACGGGCGGGGCCGCACACCGATCCTCCTGCGCGGCTCTCTCTCTCTCTCTCTCTCTCTCTCTCTCTATGCGGCAAAGGCGCGGCGCCGTAAGGGCATCTGGCGGCGCAACCGCGCCCTCTGCACCAGTGCACCCAATCTCTATCTCTAACTTCCATATGCATCAGCAGGTGTGAGCCAACGATCATTGGAGTTTGCCGGCAACACCCCTGTTTGATCTGGTTTGTCGTTCATCTCACGTGATATCTTCCCTGGCAAATAACATAGAACATGAAAAACTGCATTTTTAAAAGATTCATGTAAACTGAATTTTATCAATCCTGCATTGATGAAAAGCTTCCAGCGTTCTGATGTATCGAATCCCTCTGGACATCCATACATTGAGATTGAAACGATGCCCTGATAGCTTGCATTCACGCTTCAAGTATGAGATCAGCTAAATCATCTCCAATTAGTCTTCTTTCTTGCAATTCGGGTATTAAAAGAACATACAGTCTTTGAACAAAGGGGTGGATGGGAAAACATGGTTTGGATCCCTCTGCCGAATGAAAAAGTTTTCTGATTCCATAGCTTACAATTTTCTAAACGGAAACATAGGTAGGTTCCAGTTGCTGCCTTCACATTAGTTCAAATTCTGATTAGTATTTTGTCATGTTGCTTTGGTCACCAAAATATCAATCTATTCCATGCTGGACTCTAGGTCTATTTTTTACAAGTGTGTTTCACCTGGTACAGTGGTACTTCAATTCCCAATTTACACGCTCCGCTTATATATAATCTATAATCTATAATACCTAAATAGTTCATCCCCACTATGTGATTTCTCTTGACATGCACACTATCCACATCAGCAATGACCCACGTCAGCCAACTCCACCTCATGCATCCGCTCAATGGGCCATGTCAGCAATTTTTCCTTAAACCATTTAGTTTAATATGGGATGGTGTATCAGTCGTTTAATTGGAGACTTTCAGCATGGTTCGCCGCACGCCTGTAACCCTCCCCCTTCGTCCGCTTCCCTTCGCCTCCCTCTTCAGCTTCCTTCTTTCTATTTTATAATTATTGTAATTGGTAACCGAAGAGCATCACAAGGCAACACCACTATTTCTCATATGCCATCGTGGGCACTAATGCCCTGATCATCTTCCCCGCTGATGCTCTCAATTTTCCCCTCCGCCATGCCTTTTGAGAGAAGAACGTGAACCACCATCTCCCACCACAAATGCATATTGAATGGACAGTTGCCTTTCCAGAGGCCATTAGACTTCGCCATGAAGGCAATTGAGCCGCCGAAGAACTAGATGGCATCGATCTGCTAGATGTCTGCTCACCATAGTTAGCCTCCTCAATTTTTCCTAAGCCTAATCGAGCTTATTTCTTTATTTTGTTAGTTTCACTCCTGCTGCAAAGGTGCCAGACGTCCTTCTGGAGGTTATTAGTTTATTGGCTGTTACAAAGTTGGATTCTTCCTTGCTACATGGGATTCTTGCTGGTCGCATTGGTAGACAAGCTCCCATATCTGATTTTTTTTACAGTGAGTTTATGTTAGTTTCCATACTTATTCA